CTACTTCAACGAGTCTACATGCTTTCTTTCTGTTCCACATGTCTATCTTATCTAATCTATTCTTATTAGCTCTATCTATACTCTGTATTTTGTTTAGTGATTATTCTCCTTGTTTAGATTTTTAAATCTTATTCTAGGAATGACTTTGCTTTTTTCAGAATTTCCTGTGGATTTACCCAGTTTGCCTGTAAACTGTCTGGTTCTGGTCTTGCATGATTCGTCTCTGCTTTTTAATACATAACACATATTTCAATACCGTGTTTGTTTGTTTACCTGCTTTGCACGTATTTGTGTTATGTGGCTAATCTGCGTTTCAGGCTGTTTTAGGATTCCTAGTTTTGTTCGCAAAAAATTTTCTTTGTAGTGAATTTTTGATGAAACTTCTTCTAGGTTACTTTTTAAACTCGAGTTTTTCTATTCTTCTACTTTTTTATGTGTAATTTTACTTTTTGTATCTCTTTTCTTAATATGCTAAGAGATGTTAATTAGTGAGTTTGATAATTTGTCTATGTAGTAACCTTTAGCTCAATTTTGTGACCAGATGATCTACAGAAAGAGTTCGATGACTATAGTATTTGCTAATTTTAGTTATAGTTATGGTATTCATGGCTACAAAACAATTACTATAATCCTTAAATTAATAAGCAAATTTTGTATCTTCATCATATTCATTATATTCATTACAACTCATCTTTTTACTATATTCTTCATTATTTTTTTCATCATCTTCGTTATAATTATCAGTATTAAAATTATTATCATCATCAGTTTTATTAATATGATTATAAATAAATAAAGATAATACTATTTCTGGTTCTTCAATATCATCAAAAAATGCTACAAATTCACTTTTAATACCCATATTATGTATGAATTCCTCTGTTGAAGACATTTTATCATCATTTAACTTTATTTCACATGAATCTTTGAATATACTATCAAAATTATCAGAGAATTGTATTGATGTTTGATTATATTCTTTATTGTATTCATCAAGTTCATTGATATTTAACATAATGTAACTATAATTATAATATAATAAAATTAATATTAATACACTTATAAAATTTTAATTTACAAATAATACATATCTAGGCTATACAAACTTATACAATCTCAACTAGGTTAGTAGATATTTATTTTGACTTGTAAACTTGTTTTACTGATTTTAATTAGTAGTAAGTAGGTATTTATAATAATAACTTTGACTTGTGAAATTGTTTTATCAATTTTTAATTAAAGATAGAAAAGTTTGGTTTGGTTTGGTTCAGTTTAATATAAATTTTTTCTTATGCAAATCTTGCATTAATCAAATTTACTAATTAATAAATAATCCTTTACTTGCTAGCTACATCAATAAGAATAAAATAATTTGTAGATAATGGTAAGTAGGTATTTCTGATATTGACTTGTAAACTTGCTTTGTCAATTTTAATTTCACTGATATAATCGAGATGATTGTACATACAAAAAATTCATAAATAAAAAAATTTTTTTTTAAAAAAAAGCTAAAACCTGAGTTGCCGAGTCACTAAAGTTAATTGGTGAGATTGAAAACCGATGGAAAATAGGTTTGTATATCCTTATTTGTATAATTTTAGGGATTTTTATGTATTGGTATATAATCGTAGTTATTATTATCGTATTAATATTAATATTAATATAGCAAAAAATTAAGCGGTTAACGTAGATGAAAGTTGAAACTTCAATTCTATATGACTATAAATATATTTATATAATACATTGAATACTCACAAATGTTTTTGCTTATAAATATTATGATAACTTCTTAATAATTTACAAGAGTGTAAATAAGGAAGACTTTTTTTTTTTAATCAAAAATCATATAAAATCGGTAATTTTAAAAGGAAGTTGATCATAGTAAATCGCATTTGCCCAGTTGATTTTGTGACACATCAAGCAGTTAATAATGTGATACCCCTAGTATATGGACTAAGGTCATATTAATAAAAAAAATGTGATTAATTAGGTCATTTGCCAACACTGACATAGACCTCTTAGAATTTCTCACGCAAGAAGAACTATGTCAAGTATTCTCAAACCCTTCCGTAAAGGTATTCTTTTATCGACATATTCTTTTTATAAAATAGTATACTTTAGTGACCACCTTCACGAACTACAGTATTTGAAACTAAAATTGAAAAACTTGCCCGAAAATGCGGAACAGGTATCTAATAATATTGCTATATGTGGCAAATATTGGTAAGAATTATTGTCTGATCTATGTGTTAGCACCTTTATCCCTTCCAGAGATTCTTCAAGATGAATATACTGCCCGCATCATTCTTCGCGCCATGAAAGAGAGTCCATTTTCCGATGACCTAGTGTTGATAATTAAATGGGATGATAGAGGATTTAACGATGTACCAACTGTTCCTGGTTGCCGTAATAGTGTGCTCGGTCAGACGAAGACCGCCATTATTACTCACCTCGTGACGAATGGTGCAGTCGACGTTTATGTATTAAATTTAATTTTCATGTTTAGAAATTCAGACGCACTTAGCCAGTGTGAACATACAATTCCCGCATGGTATAAGAAATTTTATTTTCCTTTAATATCATTTTATCCGTCTACTCATGCTTTTTTCTGCTAAAGGGCCAGGCATCAACCAGGCGTTCCGGACGTCTGCAATGCTATATGTAGAATCAATAGGATAACGAACACCATATATGAGACTGAGCTATTTCTTTATGCCTTTAACAGTAACAGATAACATAATATAGTAATGTATTTTTATAGCTCTCGCATTGCGATTATAAAAAAAATAATGCCTAGGAAAAACTGGATATATCATATATTTTTAGTGCTAGGTTCTTACACTTCTGTCAAAAAGAACGCGTTTGCAATTGCATTAAGCAGTTGATAAAGCAGACCTTAGTGATTATAAATTCCTTACTTCACACGTCTTTCTTCGAAAGTGTATTTCATGCATTACATTGTACAGGTTCCAATTCAATGTATACTACATATGATAAAGAATTTTTTTTCTTTTCATTTTTCTGAGATGGCCCGTCCCACAAATTTTAATGACATGAATTTAACTTTGATGTCTGCATGATTAAAAAGTTTTGAATAAATATGCTTTTTATATAAAACAATAGTAAACCCTCAATCAAAAATCGATTTGTTAAAAGAATTAAATTCGAAGCTCTTGGCTAAAATTACTGAGCTTAGAAAGGAGAATGCTGAAATTCTTAAACTTAAAAAGGAGAATGCCAAGTTAAAACAGATGATAGAAGAGAATGCCAGACGCGAGGCTGAGAACATGGAGCTTAAAGCCAAAGTAGCTAAATTGGAATGTGATATAGAAGAAATAAAAAAGCGATCCCAATCCATTACTAATACACAGGACAACCATAGTTGTCAAATACTCGATTTATCCTTAGAATATTCAGAATCACAAGTAACTTCTTTATCTATCGGAGGCCACACTGATAAAGAGACTTTGACTCACTACGAAACAAATGACTCTGTAACAACTAACATTACATCTGTAACTTCTGAGCAGATGCCTCAAAAAGGCACCCCTAAAGGGCTAGAAAATACACCTAATTCTGACATATATCAACCTATCAGCATGAAGCCTAAATCATCGGAAGACAAAGCAATTGACGAATTCCTGGATTTAAAGCATAAAGAAAAAGTAAGTAATGAAATAAGAGAAAGAAAACAGGAAAAGAAGCTTCGAACTCAAGACTTATCTTTGGTTAGCTATAAGAAAAAAGAAACAGATAAACTCTGGCAAGAATTGTTCAATACTTTTTTAGAAATAAGTTCACAAGAGTACTTTATATCAAAAAATATTAAGCCAGAACAGATCGAAATTTCCGAGATGGCCCATTCCGAAAAATTTGAGGGCATAGATGGTTCTGCAAAATGTATTGATAATTCATTTAACATTAAGGAGGTATTACAACATTTAGCTCAGTTATGCGATAAAACAATAGGTGCAGAAGATCGAGCTTCGAAGGCTAATTACGAAGAAATCATATGCTGGTCTCTTTATGGTAGAGATTTTGAATTTTAAATTAGTGAGATGAGTAGTAAAAATAAAATTGACGAGAAAAAAGTAAGAATCTTAATTTATAATAAAATTGAAAATCAACTTTCTATTCTCCGTAATAAGATAGCTGCGCGATGCAGTCACACTAGAAACTAGGAACGAAAGCAAATATAGTAATTAACAAATTGTCTAAGTAACATACAAGCAAGGACTTATCTAGCATCTTATTAATTAATACATTAAGAAGTATTTAATATATACTATAGGCAATTAACTCTTATTAGCTAATCAAATAAAAGTTTACAAGTATATAACAGACATGTGTCATTCAATACTCGATATCATGGAAGCTAATAAAAATCCAAATACAACAGAGGCACAGAATAAACTATAATAAACTCTATTTTTATATGATTGATAAGGTCACGTTAAAATGGATTTTTAAGAATATTTGCTAATTAAAAATTCAAATTTGACTTGTAAAAATAGTTTATTTTAATCTTAAATAACGTATATTACCTTTAATTGCATTTGATATTTTTTGCATGCTAATAATCTTGCTAGTGTATATAAAATCTGGATGTTTTGGTGATATATTTGGCAATATTGTAATTATTGTCATAGCTGAAGCTGGAAATAGCTGATGCTGGAAATTAGAATTATTATTAGAATAGGCTAGCAAAGAAAATATTGATATGATTAGAATCAATAAAACAAATACAACAGGTAGACAAAACAATTTTAATTTAGAAGATCAAGATAATTATATAGGCATATGGTCAGACGCAGAAGAAAACAAGAAGAAAAGCTCTGGTATTGGTCTAATAATATATAAAAAATGGGAAAGACATTTAAACTAAGTAAAAAGAAGAAATGTGTATTACCTAGAAACACTTTTTGTATTCAAAAGGCATAAAGTGCTAGTCTTAGTAATATACATACCACACAATGACTCTAAGGTCATAAAAGATATGCCAGATTAAGAGTAAGATTACTTCTCCTTGGTCGAGTCCATCTTTAGCTTCAAATTTATTCATTAGCTCGAAGCTTATAATTACCTTGATTCTTCTTTTTTTATACAAGTTTAATATGAAATTGATCGTGTTTTCTGAAAGCTTAATTCTTTTTAAAGCTTTTTCTAGCATTTCTAAGCCTACAGAGTCAAATGCTTTCTGCATGTCTTGGAATAAAATCCATAGCTCATTATTTTTTTGTCTTGTATTCTCGAGTATATTGTTCATTATATAAATTAGGCTTATTATACTATCACCTAAGAGCTCTGTATAATTAGGACCTTCCAAGACATTATAGTCTACCATAATCTTATCTAGTCTGTATGTTAGAACCCTCACTACTGTTTTGTGAAAAGTTTCAATTAAAACAATTAAACGAGTGTTAGACAAGTTATAATTCTAGTTCTCTCTTTTAGGAATTGGGTAGAGTTAGCTGAGCTTCCATTTGAATAGGATTTCTCCTTCTCTTATACACAGGTTAGCAAGGTGTCTGAATATTTTTTGTACTATTGTACCTGCTTTTTTTATCAGTGGGTAGCTTATACCAGATGGGCCTGGTGCAGACTTAGGCTTTGTCTTTTTAAGTACCTTTAGCCATTCTACTTCAGAGATCTCGTCTTCCAGACTATCATATATTTTGCTATCTATCTTTTCTAGTGGATTATATACTTTTTTCCATCTGGTTAGCATGTTTAAGGTGCAGGTATTTCTTTTGCAGAATTGCTTTTTAAAATGATTTTTCACTTCTTTTAGTACTTCTTCTTTTTGGTTTATTAGTACTATTTCTGTGTTGTTCTCTTTAATGATTCTGTCTATAACTATTCATTTTGAAGATTTTTCAAGTAGGCTACTTATCATGTGTTTAAGTTCTCCTTGTATTGCTTCGTAGCAATGTTCAACTGCTATATTAATTTCTTTGAGATCTTCTTTCTTTTTTGCTTGCTGAGTTTTTAAATATATGATTTTCCACTATACCTTTAGCTCTTCATATCTTTTTTTAGTCTACTTAGTTTCAGAAAGCTCTTCTATTTCTGTTTTGTACAGACTATTTATTCTTGCTATTTTTGTATTCATTAAATGCTTATCTGTGCTATCGATGTTCTGCTTTATTTTCAAGGAGCATTGTTGGCATATGCTTCCTATTATCTTTAAATCTTTTTTAATATTTCTGCTCTCTTTCTCTTTCTTGGAAGCAGGTTTTCCTATTGTGGACTTCTTTCTTGGGAAGGTTGATCTTGCACACTTGATTATACTTGTTGTGATTATGTCCCATAAGCTATCCTTATTTAATATTTCTAAATAAACTAGGTCATGTTCATCTTTTATAATGTTCAGCTTCTTCTTGAATAAGCTGTCTAGTTTCATTTTATAATCCTCCCAGTTTTCTTCTGTTGCTTTGTCAAGAAGAAATGACCATCTTTTTCCTTTTAGTCTTTTTTTACAAGCTAAAGATCTGTTTTTCTTCTTTATGCCTGTTAGTATTTTTGCGATTATAATAGCATGATCACTATTTGTGACTACATCTGCTTCTAGTATGTCACAATAGGTAAGGCCTTGGCCTAGTCGATTCTAGACTTTACTTGATCATTTCCTCTTGTGAATTTCTTTTCGTAAGAGTGTAAATTTCTGAATGTATCAATCATATTAGAGTTTTCAAGCCATTTTAGGAGTGGGAGTTTTTGGGTTCACCTAGAGTCTTCTCTGTTCTGATCTAGATCTCTACAGTGAATGTCATTAAAATCTCCTAGTATTATAACTTTTGTAGCTTTTCTTTTACTTTGACATTCAAATGTTCTTTTGATGACCTGCTGCTGAATATCTTTTCTGACCTTAGAGTCATTGTATGGTATGTATATTACTAAGACTAGCACTTTATGCCTCTTGAATACAAAAAGTGTTTCTAGGTAATATGCATTTCTTCTTTTTACTTGGCTTAAATGTCTTTCTCATTTTTTATATATTATTAGACTGACGCCGGAGCCTTTCTTCTTGTTTTCTTCTGCGTCTGACCATATGCATATATAATTATCTTGATCTCTTAAATTAAAATTGTTTTGTCTACCTGTTGTATTTGTTTTATTGATTCCAATCATGTCGATATTTTCTTTGCTTGCCCATTCTAGTAATAATTCTAATTTTGTGAAGTTTCCTTTTATCCCATTAATATTATGTGATACAACTTTTACTGTTTGAAAGTCTTCTACTAAAACCTCTTCTTCTCTCTTTTTAGAGAGACTCTCTATGTTGAGACAGTCAGCTCCACTGTCTATTTCCATTAATTCAACTAGAGCGCCTGTTAGGAGCGATTTGGGGCCTCCCACTCCATATGTTGAATTTTTTCCTCGATGCTTCTTATAAGTTGTAGCATATAATCATAAGTCTTTTCTGAGCCTGAGATCTGTTTTTGGGTTGCCATTACACTGCTAGATGCTTCATAATTGGCTTCTTTCTTTTTGCCTTCTCGAATTTCACTTCTCTTTTTCTCAGAGTAAGCACTTGTCTGTGTAGTCTTCCCTGTTCACTCTATACTGCTTGTTATTTCTTCTTCACTTAGAATAAGTCCTCTAAGGACTTCTTGGTCTTGTTCTATATATCTTCTTGTTCTGGAGCTTCTTGTATTACTTCTTCTAAAAGCCTCTGGCTCTTCACTATCTTTGTCTTTCTCACTTTTTATATTTGCTTCGTATCTTGTTGAGTTTGCCTATCTTAGCTTGTTATCGTAGTAGGACAGTGAGAATTTGAAGCAGTTTAACATATCTTCTTCCTTTTCAAAATATACTGTTGCACTTCTCATATTGTTGTTATTGGAATTCTTGAAGTTGTGTAGTACTTTAGCTCCTGATCTTTTTATTTGTCTTCACAAGAATACTTCATTTTTGTTTTCTGGTAGGTCTAGTAACCTTTTGCTAAATCTGTTTCTTGTGCAAAGTGAAGAGAGATTGTTAGTACCTGTTGAAATTCTTACCAGTATCTCATTCGTGAATGGCAAGCACCAAATCTTATTTATTTTTTTTTTGTCACATATACCTGTTTTGAATTCTACTTCTGCTTTTGTTTTGTCTGAAGCACTTTTGATTATTTCAATATGCTCTACTCTTCCTAGAAAGTGAACTATTTCGAAGACCTGTGTTCTTCTGGCCCAAGCTAGCAGGTCCCAAACTGTGATTTTGTTATCATCCTCTGTTGGGTTAAAATTTTTTTTAGCTTGATATGTTGTAGTTTCTTTCCTTTTAAGTAGATCTTGTTCATGTAAGCTGGTTTCTGCTTTCTCTCCTCTTCTTACAAAAACTTCTTTGAGTTCTTTTTCTACTTACTTCTCTCTCTCTCTTTTTGTTTTTTGTCTTTCTTGAGTTGAGTTTCTTGTATCTTGATTTCTTACTATTTTATTTAGTTCTTTTTGTTTTTTGTTTTCTTCTAAGAGAAGATTGGCTTGTTCATATTCTTCTTTCTTGTTTCCTAACTTTTCTTTTGCCTCTTCATAGCCTTTAAGGCAGTCAAA